TAATTATCCCAGGCATGTTTCATCATCTGAGAAAGGAAAAATTATAATCCAGCAATTTACATTACTCACAGACTGTTATTTCATCTATCTAGATCATCTATCACTATAGCCTTACCTATTCTCCTGTATCTCCTACATTAGGATATTATTCTATTACCATTTGTACCAGTGTGACAACACACATAACCATGTTTAACCTCAGTCTACACAACAGAAAAAAACAAACAAACAAACAAACAAACAAACTTGGCCTGCAGGCTGTATTTTGCCAACCCCTGACCTAAACAAAGTGACTAGGTGTGATTCAAGTAGCAGCAATCAAGTCCCTTTATGCATAAAGGAAGGGACTCTCTCGATTTGTAATCTCAAGGTGTACATAATATATCATCGTGGAGCTGATGGAGGCTAACATTCACCCAACATGGAGAAACTAAACAACAAAAGGACAGAGGTGTATATTATTAACAAGGACATCTAAGATGTGGACTTAGCCAAGCCAAGCTTGAAGCCCCCGTTTAGAGCCACTAAGCTAATAAATTTTTTTTTCTCAACTAGCTTGAACTGCACTTCTCACAACCCAAGGTGCTCCAAGCTACGCAACAGCAGAGTATTTAATTATATAACAGTTTTTAACAGTGGACTGTGGTATATCAAAAATCTATTCAATTATCAGTATACTATTCATTAAAATATTCCTCAACTTGTTTTTTTGCAGCTTGGATTATTCAGAAAACAAAACCGGACAAAGACATTACAAGGAAACTGAAACCCAGTATCTCTCAAAAACACAGATTCAAAATTCCCTAACGAGGGATGCCTGAGTGACTCAATCGGTGAAGGGTCTCCCTTCAGCTCAGGTCATGATCCTAGAGTCCTGTGATCAACTCCCCCATCAGGCTCCTTGCTCAGCGGACAGCTTGCTTCTCTCTCTGCAGGCTGCTCCCCTGCTTGTGTGTTCTTGCACACTCTCTCTCTCTCTCTCTCTTTCTATATCTCTCTCTCTCCCTGGCAAATGAATAAATAAAATCTTTTAAAAAACAAAACAAAACACAAAATTCCTTAACGAAAATCAGCAATAGAGAGAGGATACTGTGTAATGATCAAGAACAGTTTAACCTACAAATAGAAGACTGATTTAACATTTAAACATCAATTAATATAATTCAGAATAATATAAAAGGAAAAACATCAATCATTTTTATACCAGTAGACAAAACACCTAACAAGATTCAACATCCATTCATGATTAAAAAGAAAACTCTCAGTAAACTACAAGGAAATGTCTACAACCTAAAAAAGGAGATCTTCAAAAAACCTATAGCTAACATCATACTTAATGGTAAAAGACTAAATGCTTAACCCCTAAAGTTGAGATCAAGTATGTCCATTCTCACCATTTATTTTCAACAATGTACTGGAAGTCCTAACCAATGTAACAATACAAGAAAAAGAAATAAAAAGCATAAAAATCAAAAAGGAAAATGGAAAAGTACCTCTATTCACAGAGGACATTACTATGTATAAGGAGAATCCTAAGCCATCTAAAAAAGAAAAATCCACAAGAATAAATGACTTCAATAAAGTAATAGGGAAATAAGTTCAGAAAGCAAAAATCAAATATATTTCTATATGCTAATAAGCAATTCCATTTATATTAGCATCAAAAACATGAAATATTTCAGAACAAATATAACAATATGTACAAGAATTATATACTGAGAACTATAAAACACCGCTGAGAAACCAAAGAAAACCTAAATAAGTGGAAACATGTAACATGTTCATGGAACACTGGATATTGTTAATAATTCTTCCTAATACATCTACAGATTCAATAAGATCCCAATAAAATTCCAGCAACCTTCTATTTTCATAAAGAAGCTAATTCTAGAAAGGCAAAGGACCCAGAAATGCCAAAGCAATTTTTAAAAAGAACAAAGCTGGAGGATTTAACCTGACATCAAAGCTTACTATAAGTTTAAGAATTCAATAAAGGGTCCTCCTGGCATTAAGGGTTATGGAATAGGTATGAGTCCAGAAAGAGGCTCAACACCTACTGATTTTATCACTGGATCTTGAACAAAAGCGCCAAGGTAATTCAAAAGGAAAAGGATAATCTTTTCAACAAATGATGCTGAAACAACTAGAATGCCCTATGGGCAAAAACTGAAGCACGGCCCTTACTTCAAGACAATAAACAAAAAAATTAACCAGCAACAGAGCACAGACAAAAGGTTAAAATTAAACTAAAATATGTGCCCATACAAATACTTGTACACAAATGTTCACAGAAGCTTTAACCATAACAGCCAAAAACTGGAACAACTGTTGAACAAATGTTCAACAGGTGAATAAATAAAACAAGTTATGGTATACCCATATAATGGAATACTACTAAGGAAAAAATGACCTTCATGTGCAATCTACATAAGTTAATCTCAAAAAAATTATGCCACACAAAAGCTCAGAAACAAAATATCACATACTTTCATACTTTATGATTCCATTTGACTGAAACTCTAAAAAAGACAAACACCCTATAATAACTAAAAGTAGATCAGTGTTTGCCTGTGACCAAGGAATCGGGTGGACTGACCAGAGAGGGGCACAAGAAAAACGTTCTGAGATTATAAATATCTTGATAATAGTTGTTATACAGGTATATACAGCTGTCAAATACCATCAACAAGCAATACTCTTAAAATAGGTACATTTTATTTTTTACAAAATCATGTCTCAAAAACCTCAATTTTTTTAATATTTTATTTGGCAGAGAGAGAAAGAGCGCAAAAGCAGAGGAAGCAGCAGGCAGAGGGAGAAAGAGAAGCAGGCTCCCTCCTGAGCAGAGAACCCAGCATGGGACTGGGATCATGACACGACCTGAGCTAAAGGCAAATGTTTAACCAGCTAAGCCACCCAGGCGTCCTTCACCTATTTTTTCTATTTATCACTGTATTTTGAAATACAGTCTATAGGGCTAGTTCTTAATTTCTAAAAAAGGTTTAGGTATGTACCATATTCCCCTACAGTTAACGATAATTTAGCTCTTTTATGCCACTACCTCAGCATATACTTCCCCACTTATATTTCTCTGACCCACATCCTCCCAATGTAATTAACATGTTTTTCTGGTAATTATTATATTACCTTATGCAACTTTTGTTTGTCCGGCTTTTAATTACTTATCTGGGGGTTTGGGGTTTTGTTTGTTTACTTAAGTTTTTAATGTAACAATTTTGAATTTACTTCCAAATTATAGTTGAGCTTCAAAACCTGTCTCAGTATATAATCCAACACATCAGTGCCATTTTATTCTGATATATCCTTCCTGAAGCTCTCTATCCCTCCTGTTCTGACCTCGACTTCTGGTCTCTCGGCCTGAAGCACAGCAGTCACCCTGCTGAGTCCCTTATTCAGAATCCTGAGAATGCTCTTCCTTTCTCTCTCTAGTGACAGATCCCTTGTTGCCAAAATCTCTTCTCTTCCTACTTTTGTGCTGAAGCATATTTTTCAGTAGCAATCTGAGAAAATGACTAAATTTACCCTCAGATTTGATTCACAATTTGGCTGAATATATAATTTTCTAAGCCATTGCTCCACTCTCTTCCAGTTTCCAATATTATGGTTGAGGAATCTGAGGTGCCATTATATACAATCCCATCTTTTGAGCAGAACCTTTTTTTCTCCTCTGTAAATTTTTAGGATCTGTTTTTGAATGCCTATTTTTCTAAAATTTCAGTAGGAATCTTTTTTTTTTTTTCCTATTTTTTTGCTCATTGTTGTTCCATGTCTGGTAGGTCCTTTCAATCCCTAAGACCCACATTCTTTAGCTTCAGCCAGTTTCCTTAAATTGACTTCTTCTCATCTATTTTTCTCATCTAATCACTTGTTAAATGTTCCTGACTAATCTTACCTTCTTGTTTGCTCAATCTCTTTCTTTGTTCTACTGAGAGATATGCTCAATTTTATCTTCCAGCTCTTCTACTGAATTTCAAAATTACATTTTTTAATTTCTGAGAGCTCCTTCATATTCTATAAATGTTCTTTTTCATAACTTCCTGTTCTCATGAGTTCCATTTTTTTGTCATGCCGACAACTTTTTTTCTTTTTTGGTACACCCCATATTGTTTCTATATTCTCTGAATTCCTGAATTCTTCCATCTGTTTTGTTTTCTAATGTAAGCAGCTTTCCTGAAATGCCTGGTGATCTTTGGTTTGTTCTTCAAATCAGGGGGAGGCACTTACAAGATAATTAAATGCTGTCAGTGAATGAGCCAAACTTGAGCTGAGCCTCATCTTAGGGACCACAGGTAAAACCCAGGGGTTTTCACTGAGGAACACTGTAGATCTTTTCTCTTGGGCCAGTCTCCCCAGAGAAGTCTGTCCGTCTTCTGCTTATTGAATATGAAAACCTGGCTGCCAGAATTCAGAGAGTTGAGCAGGAGAAAGTGGTCTCAATATTCAGAACACTTTTCACTTATTCCCTCCACCCTGACCACCTTTTTGTGTTTTCCCTCAGCCATAACTGGTATTCCCAAATCCAGACCTCTTCTAATTTATCCCTCAAAAAGGTATAGTATACTTTAGTCTTCTGTTGGGGAAGGGAAGGCAGCAGCTAGGATGCCTAAGCTGGAGAACTGGAGATCTAGGAGCTACGAGCACTTTTTAAAATGTTCAAATAATCCCTTTCTAATGTTGTTTTATACCTCTTCCTTTAGAAGTAACCAATGTCTCTAATCCTTGAAACTTTCAGGTATTCCTCAGTTCACATCATCTTGCCTCTTGTTAGTTTCTTCCCCTGTAAGCTTAAGGTTCAACTTTCTCTGCCTGCTAAGCCAGTGACCATAATGTTTAACAGGAGCCTACCTGTACAGGAGGTCTTAATATGTTTCATGTTGACTTGTAAGAACACCAGATATATGGATATTAAAGGGTTAACTCACCAGGTCTAGGTTATCCAAACCCTGTAAGAAAGATTTGCCCTGTGCCAGACTCCTAGAAAATAACCACTAAATCTTATTATCCTGCCTTTTAGAGTACCTTCGTTTAAGTGTAGCCTTGGGCCATGTGAACAGTTTCTGCTTACAATGTGATTTATGGTGGGCGCCCTGGGTCACATGATATCAGCCTGACCTCTTGGAGATGTTAGAGAACTAAGGTCAGCCACGCCTACATAATGAACCTCAAATAAAAGCCCTGGACAGCAAGGCTCAGGTGGACTTCCCTGGCTGACGATACTTCCTTACCATACATCATTGCTGGGACAGTTAAACACTGTCCATACCACTCCACTGAAAGAGGACAGCTAGAAACTTACATCTGGTATCTCCTGGACTCTGTCATATGGGCCTTTCCTATTACTAATTTTAATCTGCATCCTACTGCTGCAAAAAACCCAAACCATGAATACAACTGCTTTGCTGAGCTCTGGGAATACTTCTAGCAAATCACTGAGGCTGTGGTGGTCTTGGGAGTCCCCTAAACACACACTGTTATTTGAATTATTATGTACATAAGAAAGTGTTTCAATGAATTCTAATTACATCTAAAAACTAGCAGGTCAGTCATCTCAAAAAAAAAAAAAAAAAAAAAAAAAAAAAACTATCAATGTTTCTCAATACAGTCCAAAGAAAGTGCCTATAGCAGCCAGCACAGTATATTTCCAAATAGATATTTAACTATTCAAACTAAACTTACCATCTTCTTTTATGATAAATAATCCCTTTGAAATATTGCTGATGCTGTTACAACCTGACAAAACCTTTTTCTTCACAGGCAGTACTTTACCAAGAATCAGCAAGAGTTCTAATTAACAAAACTTAACTGTAGTATTCACTAAATTCCGCCCCCTCCCTACACACACACACATACTACGGCATTCTCTTTACCTCCAAGTAATTCCTAGAATAACAATTTGAAAGACTTCTGAGACTAAACATTTAAAGAATCCTGAAGTCAATCGTTCCCCATTCTTTAATCTTTTGAGACTCTGGAAGATATCTGCAGTATGGGCGAAGGTTTAGATGACCTATTCTTTAAAAGATGGCAGATAAAATGCTCATTTTTCAGAGGCATGTTTATGAGGAGATTTGCATAGTATCTAGCAGAGTCCCTTGTAACTGAACACTTCAGAAATTTCTTATTCAATGATAAATTATTTACAGAACTATTCTATATTATTTATAAATGTTGAATATCAAAAGCTCCCTCAACATAGAGTGGTATAATGATCCAAACAACATTATATCAAAATTTCAAGTGTCCAATAATTATCTTATAATCCCTATTAAGAAAGATTATTGCCAACTTGGAATCTGAACTATGAGCATGACCCCAAAACAAACAAGAACAAAGTATGACACCACAGATGATACAAATGTATATACATTTAAATCCAGTCAAATACCATAACCTCTCCACATCATAAATCTTGTTTACCTCTTTAATTTTTTCCCTTTTCTTTCTTATGTCATTATCTTCTGGGTCTCCACCATTTATTCCTATTAGATTTGGTACAGGGACTGGTGGCAGTGGCTTCTTCTCTTTTGCCTTCATCTCTTGGACTACCTTATTTTTCTCTGTCTGAATTTCTGCTCGAATTTCCTCTCTCGACTTTTTTAATTTTTCTTTTGCTTCTTCCAAGGCCTTCTCGTGATCTGCTCGAATTTTATTTCTCAAACGTTCCTCTTCTTCCCTATAAGAGAATAAAAAAAGGTCTGGTAAGAATGATCCTTAAGAACTTCAATCTTTGAACCTAAAATTCAAAGTTTCCTGAGCCAAACCCTGTTAGATGTTTCCTACTCCAACCATTAAAAGGTAAGGATGATCTGTGAGAGAGTCTCAGATATATCTGCCCAAATAGGATAAATATAACTTATGAGCCCTGGATGCTGAAGACCAAACACTTTACAAGGAGGAAGAAGAGGGAACCTAGAAAGAAAGTTACAAATGCAAGAGCAGTGAGAACAGAGCAAAAAACAATCAGTAACTTATCAGAAGACATGAAGAAAGAAAAGGGAGGGGGAAAGAGGAAAAAAAAAAAAAACAGCAAAAACAAGACGGGGAGAGAAAATTAAAAATAGAATTAAGTATGGGGAAGGGACAAAAATATAAATACAGGGTCAAGGAAAGAGATAAGTGGAAAAGAGAAGATCTAGGGAAATTTTTCATTTATTATTATTAGTACATGATATGCTTCTAAAACTTTTATATTTTGAAAATCCTACAGAGCTTAACACAATTCCCAAGTGTTGTGAGAATTAAGAGAGAACAGATTCTAATTCAGTAGGTCTCTATGAAACCCATGACTGTGTTTTATGAAGAGCTCCTCTGATGAATTCTGGTATGCACACAGGTTTGGACACCACAACCACAGTGGACACCAACAGGGTTTTCTACCCTGGCCTACTTTTGTGAGAGCTCAATCTTCTCTCCACTTCTACCCCCATCCACATGAATGAATACAGGAGTGGTAGTTACTGTTTTTAACATCAGCCAATGATGACTGCTCTAAGGGTAAATATCTCAGTAGTCACCAGAATCAACTCTCTAGAAATTCAATTCAAACTCTGCCGGACCTACGACATTGCTGGTGGAAACAGAAAATGGTACAGCCAGTTTCTTAAGAAAATTCAGCAACTACACTGGAAATTTATCCCGGCAAAGTGAAGGTGTATGTTCATACAAAAACCTATTCATAAGCCCATCACAAAAGGACAAGTACTATATGATTCTACTTATGTGAGATATTTAGGATAACCAAAATACTATAGAGTAGAATGGTGGTTGCCAGAGGATGGGGGGAGAACGGGAAACGGGAAGTCACTGTTTTAATGGGTAGAGCTTCAGTTTTGCAAGATCAAGAGTTCTGGAGACGGTCCACAACAATACGAGTGCATTTAATACCAACACACTGTACACTTAAAATTAGCTAAAGTCATAAGTGTTATGTGTATCCTACCAAAATTTCTAAAAAAACTGGAGGGAAAATCCTATACAGAAATGTTTATAATGACTTTACCCATAATAGGCAAAAACTGGAAACCATTGAGGTATCCTTCACCAAATAAATAAACAAACCACTGTTTATAAAGTGGTCCAGCCACACTATGGAATACTACTCAAAATAAAAAGAAACTATTCATACACACTTGAATGAATTTCAAAGGTATTACTCCGTGAATGAAAGAAGCCCATCTCAAAACGTTACATTCCACTTTATTCCTTTTACATGACATTCTCAAAAAGACAAAAATCTAAGGATGGTGAGTACGTCAGTGGTTGCCAGGAAGTATGGATGGGGGAGAATTAACTATAAAGGAATAACACATAAGAGAGTTTTGGGGGATGAAAGCAATGTTATGAAACCCAATTATAGTGATTATGGGAATACATACATGTGTTTAAAAATCACAGAACATACAGAGAAAAATATCAGTTTACAGTCTAATATTAAAAATAAAATGTTAAATGTTTAGAGAAAAAACTGGATTGCTAGCAGTAAAAAGGGGCTGATGAGGGAAACAGGAGAGAACACCAGAGACAGGGCAAACACAGAGGCACCTGAAGGCAGGGAGAAAGAATCCACGGGGCCTCCAGACAGAGTGGAGGTGGGAAGATGGCAGTCTTTTGGCAAGGATAAGCCAAAGCTAGCCTGTGAGTGAATTCATGAGCAATTCTGGGCTGCTCCATTCAGGAGACTCGGGCAAAAAAGGGCATCATCCGCCTTCCAAACCGCCCCGCTTTCCTTACCAACAGAGAAACACTGTGCCCAGCCCACAAATAATGCGTCTACGTCAACCAAGTCTTTCTCAAATGCCCCTGCAGCTAGGTGTGATCACACAACCCTATTCCAACCACAGAGGCAAAGGAGGACTACTAGGAAATAATTTCCTTCTGGAATTAAAAAATGGACAGAACCATTTGAGAAAAGGGCCTGTTAGCTACTAAGACCAAATCTACCGAAATACCTACTCCTATCTTCAGCTGTGGTTGTGATGCCTAAAACTGTGACAGCCATTTTGCAGGCAAAAGGCCTAGGGGATAAATGGCCAACATGGTTCAGGAAAAGAAAAGAAAGACGTAAAGTGCTGCTGATATCATTAGGTTGCTACCAGGGCCTTCAACTGCCAGTCTCCAGATTTCAGGCTCTGTGGAGCTGAACCAGTTAGGTGTTCTGTCACTTCCATCTGAGAATGTTCCCAACTCCCTCACTCAGTGAGCAAACAATGCACACAGAGTGAGGAAAGCAGAAGGCCTGGGACTAAGTCCCAAAGAAGAGTACCATCAAACAGGAAGGACTGGTTCTTTCAAGGGCAGTTTCTGTCCTGATGAGTGGGAGAGACTCCGTCAGGAACAATGCTTCCCCTTTCTAGCTCCAAGCACCATGTTACCATTGAAAGGCACATGGAAGCCCCCACCATGTTTGCAATGGCTCACCTGGGCATCAGTTTAGAAGCACCCTCATGCACCAGCAAACCTCCACAAACAGCTGGGGATTACATGCTGCCTTCTCGAGCCCATCCTAAGGGCCACAATACATTCGATGTCCCTCTCCAAAGCTTCACAATGCACATGGGTATTTTAAAGGCTCTGCGAAGTTTTGCAATAAAGGTGCCTAGCATAATACTGCCCAACCTTTTTTAGTCACAATCGCCCTTCTAGCACACCCCTTTTAGCATGCCATGAAACACTGTCATAAATGAATGTCCTCAAACTATGCCATCAACCAACTAAGGCTTTGGTAGAACCCGCCACTTTTTCGCTGTGTGACATTAGATGTGTATCACCTCTCTGAAGCTCCTTTTCCCATCTGTGAAGAGTATCCCCACCAACCTTGCAAGACTGTTGTGAGGAATGGATGAGATGACACAGGAGTCTAAGAGGACAGAGAAGTCCTTATCAACACAAGTTTCCTTCCTTCCCTCACCACCTATCCTCTTCCTCACCACACACACACACACACACACACACACACACACACAGAGCCATTTAATGATCTGGGATAACATCAGTGTCTTCAGACACCAGGGACCAACACCCAGGGACACCTTGCAACTTTTCAGCATCCCTGCACTGAAAGATATAACACTTATGGGCAAACCCACAAGGATTTAGAGGGCACCAAATGCTCTTAAAATGTGGCGAGCCTCCTGCAGAACTAGCAGAGAGCTATGCCCTCTCTTTTCCATCCCCGACTCCTTTGCCCATATGCCCATAAAGGCAGCTGGGGCCTTCAAGATCACCTAGAAATAAAAGGCACAATGAGCATGAGTACCAGGAAGCCCATTTTCATTTACTATTTTTACTAATTAAATGCTAGTATCAATTATTTCTCTAAGAGCAAAGAAGTATATTTGAGAGCAACACGTATATGTAAATAATCTTCAGATTACACAATTATTTTTAAAAATTAAAAAACTGAACCATCTAAATTTTAGTACTCTATAAGAAAGCCCCCAGTCACTTTACCCCACTTTTGTTATTGTTATGACATCCAAACGTTGTTCAGCAGAACCTATACTGTTGCAATACTTGTGCAGTCTCATTCAGAAATATTTTGAAAACCTAGGGGCGCCTGCATGGCTCAGTGGGTTAAAGCCTCTGCCTTCAGTTCAGGTCATGATCCCAGGGTCCTGGAATTGAGCCCCACATCAGGCTCTCTGCTTGGCAGTGAGCCTGCTTCCTCCTCTCTCTCTCTCTCTGTCTGCCTCTCTGCCTACTTGTGATTTCTGTCAAATAAATAATAAATAAAATCTTAAAAAAAAAGACAACCTAAAGATCTGTAAATTTGCATCTGTCCCTCAAAATAATTTTTTGTTTAGCAGTTTAGTGAATACAGTCAGCATGGAATAACCACCATAACCTGGAGTTCAAAGAAAGACCAGTCTAGTCCTCAACAGGAACTCCAGAGTCCCAAAGAACTGAGCTGGATCTCCCATTAACTGGGTGCCGAGAAGAGTCATTTTATAGTTGAGGACAAAAAGCACCTAAGGTAAAAGTACTTAATCTAAAGGCCAGGAGACAATTCTCTTTCCAGCTCTGCCCCAACTTACTCTGCAATCTGACACAAATCATTAAAAACCCACAAGATCAGTACTTTCTGGGTAAACACATATTAATACTACCCCGACTACACCACTTTGGCTACTGGTATCCAAGGTAAGTAGAAGTACTTCATAAAATGTAACCGTTAATTATATCAAACACCCTAATCTCTCTGATAGTTTTCTTCTCTCTATATACACATATCAAATTTTTATTTTCATTTTGGTCTCCTTTCAAGGGGCTCCTCAAATTTTTAGTGGCCAAATTTCCAGATCTGCCATTACACCAGCTAAATCAACTCTTTTGGATGTTTATTTTCACTTATTGATCTTTTACTTATGTATTTTGAAATTTTTTGTAACTTTGATATCTTCAACAGATATCAACGTTGAACTTGCACCTGTATATGTTTCCTCTACTTTTCCATCAGTGCCTGGTATCTTTCTGTGCAGTAAACAATCTGGCCCCCTCCAAAGAGAAGTCTGGCCTTTATCCTCAACTTCTGGGAGGTTATCTTTCAAATCTGACTAAAGCATTCTTCTTCATGGTGAGTGCTGGCCATACCCAATCTTAGGATGGGGCTGGCCACATCTGAGAGTCCTAGAGTTAGGGCAGGCCACACTAGAACCACCAACTATATGACTTCGG